GTCCAATCACCACTCTTCTCTTTGCCCCGCTCTCCGGCCGACTTGCACCGTCCACCATGCACCCCGTCAACGCCCGCAAAGCCCGTCAGTCCGGTGCCAGCGCTGAGACCAGCTCAGAGTTCTATCGAGCGCTCTACGTGGTGGATGCCCTGGGCTGGCTTTACTTCCTCGAACCCGCATGTCCGCCGGTGCCCCCTAAGAACGCAGACCCTGCCCCCCGCCAAAGCCTCCCCACCAAGAAGCCCGGCACCGCAGTCAGTACCAGTCTTGTGGAGCTTCCTGGCCTGTGGCTGTGAGCTGGACCACTCAGCTAGGGATTCTTCCTAGCAGAGGGAATTTCTGATTTCTACACCTGCATTTGGAGCTTCCAATAGGGCTGTTGCGTTTTGTTGCTGCTGTAAATTATCATCAGATGCCCTGCCTTCTTTTTCAAAATTGACTTATTTTTTCTACATACTCACACTTAACACTTCATCTGTTTATTTCTCATCCATGTCTACCCTTTTTCCATGTACCGACACACTTATCCTGTTTCATGACATTGAAAGAACAGCCATGATTTTTCCGAATGACTGACTTCTTCCTCCAAAATGAGCAAGTTTCGTCTTCTCCACGTGAAGTTTCGAGCGTATTGGGGGGTGATTATCTAAGCAGTAGATAGCAGTAACAGTATTTATCTCCGCGTCTAAACGATGGTGTAGGAGACTTGCGAGAGCCGGAAAACGCTTGCTGCAGGCCGCCGTTGTGCCATAGACTTTTTGGGTTCGCGTCGACTCCTCACCACCAAAGCATCGCAGCAGGTACGATGTATTCTGAGGGACCACTCTTTTGTGATCGCGGGTCAGCTCAATGATTCGTGAAGCCGGCTGCGTCTTGCGTTGTGTGATATAATTTTTAAACTAAACACTTATTAAGACTAGCTGCCGGAAGTAACGGTATGTTCCTTGGCGTCTCCGTGTCTGCTTGCAAATCTCTTTGCTTGCCGACAAGAGCACTTCTCTAGGCGTAAAGAGCGCGAACGCAGGTTCACATAATAGAACGATGGGAAGAACAAAAACCACCCCACCCCCATTGTCACTAGGATAGTTGGAGTTGGGGGGTAGCACGACCTGCGCACCGGTTACTTGGCCGGCATGACAGAACCTCAGGTGCGAAAGTCTTGGGACGGACCGGAACCTTCAGCATCCAAACCGTACTGACGCAAATACAACTACCATGGAGCGGCCAAGTCATGACCACAAATCAGATGCGCCTACCCATGCGATACTTCAGCGGCGACGTTGCTACGGATGTCCACCGACATGGTGGACAAAAATGACGTTATACGAACACCCTGATGTCTTCTACCAATTACACCCAAACCAACCTAGCCACCTGAAAGAACCTTGTTCAGACCTGACGAAACGCTGTGAAAACTGGAGCAGCCGCCCTCGAAGTTCATCGGATAGTAACTGCAAGGGCAGAAAGATCGGTTCGTAAATCTCAAGTGTCAACGACGAGAAATTCCAAACTACCCACGATGTAGACTGAAATCTGGGGCAAAAGTGGGAAGGAGTGATGAGAAGTCGTCCGAGGTTCGACACGTAAAACTGGCTGGGTCACACTACGAGTGCGTGGTCACCAATAGCTAAGCCACACTCCTGCACTAACTGGGGTCTGGACAAGCTTGACGAAGCAATACCAAGCAGTGATGTATATGAGAAGTAGAAAAAACAAAAAACAATCTAATTAAGTGCCCTAACAAAACTGAATCTGTGATTAACTTGGAGGTAGAATACGCGATGACAGTAATGTCGGCTGCCAGCCTAATTGGTTGGGACGGGAGACGGTCGCCGACCGTAGATATCCTCCAGGGCTGATTCCAACGTAGGGAAGCGGAATCGGAAGCCCTGCGAAAGGGCCCGTGCAGGCAAGACTCGTTGGCCCTCCAACGCCATACTTGCCCGTGTCCCACCCAGAAGCAGTCGCATTGCCAGGGCAGGTGTACGCACACGACCGGCAAGGGGAGCACTCAGACTCTGGCTGAGGGCACGCGAAAAGGCGGCCTGTCGTACGGGGTTCGGTGCTGTTCCGTTGAAGACGCCCGAGCCCGCGACAGTGGGCTGGGTGATGAGGAAGTAGAATAAGTCCACCAGATCGGCGAGGTGGATCCAGGAGAGCCACTGTTGTCCGGAGCCAATGGGTCCTCCAAGGCCCAATCGATGAGATGTGTAGAGAGAGTTCAGAAAAGCTGAGTCTCGTGCCAGTACAACGCCTAGAGAGTAAAAATATGCGACTGTCAGGTAGTTGGAAGCTCCTGCTCACTGAAATGCAATTGACTGAATTTCCTCTAAAATCCACACCATTTCCGTGCAGGCCTGTGACGGTTCAAATCCCTCCCTCTCAACTTAATCCCCACTTCAAACTATCACAGACTACTAGTAGTAGACAAAGGTGAAGATAGTGCAGCCATTTGCAGAGACAGAGGACTGTCATCCGCATGGACCGGATGCTATGTTCGGCTGGGCCTTACAATAAAATATCTGCATTTAAGCTGGAGAAGGCAGACATTCGCGGGCTCATCGGAGTCCCAGTAGAGAGGAGGAATCGAGACCTACGTGCTGAAATTTTGTCACTAGCATTGAACATGGCGATTCACGGGGTCCACACGGAAGGTCATGAGATGTTTGGCGTTTAGCCAGATTCACTACTTCTGTTCTTTATGTAATGTGGCGAGTGAATGAGAAAACAACGCCCTCCAACTCCAGCAACGTTTCTTGACGAGGACGAGGGAAGAGAAGTAGGCGTTGACCAATCCTAGCATGCAAAGTTTTTCGGTTATTTGGCGTGTGGAGAGGCCGTATTAGATTTTAAAGACTACTCAGTCTACAAAATCGCCAGCCTTCAAGATCAGAGAAGTACAAGTTGCAGTGGCGGCATCACACCCACACATAGCAGTTCTGCGGAGGAAGGGGAATTTGTGAAATTCTGGGGCGGCTCGTCCAGTGTTAACAGTCATGGTCCGATATGACAACGGGGTGGGGCCGGAGACAGTGTTTTACTGCAGTTACTGAACTTAAGAGGAGATCTATGGTGCCATAGCGAAACAGGTCCTCTGGTTTAACAAATTCCCAGACTCGAATCATATTTTAAGAGGTTCGCAGCCCAACCAAATGGAAATAACTCACCCCAATGACAGATAGGCTTATTAACATCTTATTAGGAAGAGGTGGCGTTGTCATTGTTCCCTGAGGTAGGCCATCAAAGTAAAAAAAAAACTTCAGGTGAACGATTATTGCTACTGGTTGTGGAACACATTTCAGATCACATTAGGAAGAGAAATTACCAACCCACGGACATAAACCAAAAAGCGACTACTTTTTAACGTTGCATCGCTCATAACAGCAATCATGAATGGAAGGGGTTGAGATTTAATTTCTCATGACTCTGGAGACCATACATGCTAAAAAAATCCGTGAATTATGCGAAATAATACCCATTAGCATTGTTGGAAATATTTAACCACAAAATATCTAGCGTCCCAGGGACAAATAATTATATCTAACGAAGGCAAATGTCAGCTGAGAGGTGGCAGGGTCAGACAGCAGATGCTTGCCTTCAGACACGAGAACTACAGGGACAAACTTGATACGACAACGCATACACCGATTTTAACAGAACCAGAGGTATGCTGAGTCCTTATCGACTTATTGTTGTCTTTAAAACAGGGTTTTGGGGAGGTTGGGGCTTTCGCACAAGTTCATACATATTTCCTGATGTTATATGCAAAGAAGGCACTGGTAATAGATAAATATGACTGTTTACTCAAATGCAATAAAAGTAGCGTCCCAGCCAAGCTCCTTATGGGTAGGATGCAAACTTACCTGGTGCAGTTGCGGACAAAGCAACTACGTCGGAGAAACCGGAAGAAAGCTCCCAACGCGAATGCCCGAACGCGCTGCAGCGGTGCTTAGAAATAACGTCAGCTCTCAAGTTGCGGCTCACTCGACGAGATCCGGCCACGCATTCAAATTCGACGAGGCCGAAATTCTCGTTAGAGGTGACGACCGCGTGAGCCGGCAGCTGCTTGATTCATGCTTTACAAGTCCCCAGTCCATTAACAAGTGCAATGACCTTCCCCTTCCATACTCAGTGCCGAGACTTCGCGTAGGCAGAGTAATTAGCCACGCGGGGAGCGCACAGGTGAACACTCTTTCCAACACCAGGATCGATGCGTCAAATGGTCGAGCAATCATCACACCAACACCCAACGCACGTGATGAGATTGCAGCAATTAACGAAGCGAAAGTCGGCCATCAAGCAACTAACGCACTACGTGCAACGATCCAGGATGAAAGGTGGGAGCCGTGAATAGGAATGCGGTAGCATGGCGACTGCATCCTATAAATACTGCAGTCCCTGGTGCATGAATAACCCGTATCTGCTTTGGTCTCTGATGATGAGTTCGAGCAGGAATCCAAAACGTCAGGCTAATAAAGCTCTTGTCCCAGCGATCGTGTCTCCTTCTTTAAAACTGCTTCCTGGGACTCGTCTCTTTGCTTCTATTGGCAATGCGCACTTATATCGAATGCCAACGTTAGGAGTATGGCGGCACGCCAACGTGCAGGCCTACGCCACACCAGCTACGATCCCGGCCGTTCCTCTTCTTGTTTTGTAACATCTCGGACAGTATACTTTGAGGAGCAGGGGGTGTGATGACACACCTAGGGGCGGGTTTTCGCCGTGCCAGCCACCTGCGCCCTTTCTCGCCTCCGGTCTTCTTACCCTGTCATGACAGCGGGTCCAGGTAGGGGGAGGGGGGAGTGTGGTAGGTGCTGTGCAAGTCAATTAACGCTATCGGTGAATTCGCGCGCAAGGCCCCCTCCCTGCTGCGAAGCACAAGGTTGACATCGTTGGCAACTACGATCGATCTGTCAATGCCCAAACAAGCTTCTAACGTTTAATGGCGCAATTGGGGTTTATAAACAGGTGCCCAGCGTGCAAAGCGAGACTAGAGCAGGGAGTGGGGTCGGGAACGTGTTGTTTCACGTATAAGCCAAAAATATGCACTATCCGTCGACATCGTGTGTAACCCTTCACATACCCATTAGGACTCAGACGGCGGTTAAAGAGTCATCATATGAACCGGCAGCATACAGTACGTGACCGATCTGATGAAATCTGATAACGGAAACTGATAAGAGAACTTTTGGACGCCTTTTTCGTGGCGCATTTTGTTCGCTCACCAACATCCTCCAATGAAATGTCCTTTTCTTGTTCAGAAATTGTGTTTGCGTAATTATATTAAGTGAAATATCAGTAAATTTTAGCGAAAATAGACTATGGAATATATTCGTGCAAGTTCCTATGCTCATACATGTCCTAGACTCCAGTTATGCATCTGAGCGACTTTTTCACTGAAAGTATAGTAATTTACCACCTAGGATTTTAATAAACAGATTTAGTCGGACTATAAATTCTATTTTCATGTCCGATGTTGACCATGGTTATCAATCTCCTAACAAGGTTATTTTAGGAAAACTAGGTGTTTTATCAATTCCTTTATGTCAAGTTAGCAAACATGTGCGGATTGGTGCTCTTAAGTGCAATAATAGCGCAGATAGAGATCTTTTCGTTTTAGTGGGTTGAAATTTTTTTGCCGTTTGGAAAATTCTACCTGATGTCACACAGATGACCACCACGGAATGGTCATTTCTAGCTTTAAACATATGAAACACTACTTTTCTAGTATTTTAGCTACTGTGCATACTTTTTTCAGGAATATAACAAGCAAAACATTTTTAGTTTCATCAAAATATCAATATTTGTATGGGCGCTCTGCTATGCATTCATAATCGAAGAACGGAGTCTAGAAGCGAGCAAAAACAGTGGAAATGGCCTCATTGTATAAAGAAAGGCATGTTCTCGCGTTTGCGGTAGAAAAATATGGGTACTGCTTAAGAACGTGAAAGAAACCGTCAAAATTTTCAAATTTTTGCTTGGCCTCGCCGTGCATAAATTCAAAGTACACAGAGATCCGCGACGGAGTTCAGTAATAAAGCACTTTCTAAAGAGGTAACTTATTGATGAAAGTTTTCTTATTGATCCAAGGCATATTCGTTGGTGACTTTCGTTGTGGACAGTCATTTTTCTCGAAAATGAAGTTTACTAATTGAATGAGTCTTTAAATGTGACCCAAAGGACCATCTTCGTGAAAAGGAGCGCCTGAACACTCACTAAATCGGTGAATGCCTTCAAGAACAATCTTATCTTAAAGTTCTCAACAGACAGGTAACTCAGAATCTGTCTTTATGGGCGATCATGTGAAAATACTGAAAATCGCGAAGTATTCAGCAATATTTCGAGGCCGATCTGAAACTCAACGTAATCCAAAACGAAAGAAGAGTATAAATTAATCTAACGGGAGAAAAGTTCTCTCTATAAACAGAAAATGTTTACGATCACGCCTGTCAGCTCTATTTAAATTTATTAGGCACCGACCGGCCTCATGACATGTTACCTTATGAAAATGTTTGATCCTACGACGTACCAATCGGCGAAATCAAGCAAAATGCAGCTTCTCTTGTTGAACCCCATCTCATCTAACTCCAAATCGTCAATGAAATTATGAAACACTGGAAAACTGTTTTTGGAATCTACACACAGAATGAAGGCAGTTGACAAACCGTCATATATGAAGTCGCACTACTTATAAAACGACATTTAGACGTTAACTTCACCGAAACGCTGTCATTAGACGTGATTTTATGTCTACTTTCATATTAACTACGTGTTCGGCATGAGAATACATTCTATACATCTAAAAACGAACTTTACTTAATAAGAGCCATTTCTGACGTGTTCGAGTTATTGCGCTTTTCAAAAAAATCGACATTTCTAAACAACGCAACACTGCTTTTAATATTTTTTTTATGTTTTTAATTCTTTTAAACTTGTACTTAATTAACATAGACATTTGACTCATGAAATGGTGTCGGTTTGCGAGTGATTGGCAATCATTCGTAAATTTCGACACACTTCATGAGTTAAGTCACGCACTGTACACTGGTCTGCTAAATAAACTCTCCCTAAAAATAGATCGGAGTTGTTCTATATAAATCCTTATGGATGTTATCCGTACGCGAAACCATGTGTCAACCGCTGAACGAAACAAAACAGCGTTATGACACGTGCAGATCAGGAGTATGTCTGATCAACCATCTCACCAACCTTCATGATGAAATCGTTCCGCTTAAACATGACGGTAACAGTTAAAAACGAATGTGTGTGAGAGGGAAGGACGGGAAAATGGGGTGGGAAAGAGAGAGAAAGCCGATCTCGCGCAACCTTACTGTTGTCTTACCTAAGGGCATTTAAGGTACTACCGCAACACAAAGGAGAGTGTCGGGGACAAAGTGTATTTGGCCCTGGTTTCCAGTCAGACTGTTGGGACGAAAAATGGCTGTGGCAGACAAACTAAAGCGACTACCAAGTCAAGTACTACGCCTTGACAGAGGAGCGTGTGTGAGAGAGAGATCGACGGAGAGGGAGGCGGGAGAGTGGGAGAGGGAGGAGATAGCAAAGCCGATATGGTGCAACCTTACTATGACCTGGCCTAAGAGCATTCACAATGCAATAGCACATACAGGGTAGTATCGGTGATCAGGCGTATTGGGTACTGGGGACCAGTCAGACCGTTACGGATCCCGTGCAACACTAGTAGCAGACAGACCAGGTCAATCACTACGCCTTGATAGACTTGATTAACGGATGAGGATAAGGGTGGGCAGAGGAGAAGATGGAGGCTCTTTCGTCCTAGCTGGACACGCGGTGGCCCTGACAGATGGCTCTCTTCGGACGCTACAAACGCATTAGTGCCGTGGCCCTCTAAACATTCGCCTATTCACGTCGAAGCATGATTTTCTCTAGTCCATTAACGCCACTCTCAAGCTAATAAGACTGCCTTTCGTGTTAAGTAAGGGTGCTGTGGCTTCAGGCTCTCGATCAGGTGTGGCAAAAAGCGGGATCGTCAATATCAAATATAGTAGGCTGCCCGTGCAAACACATTTGAAAAGATGACAAAAGTATTCCTTCTGCTACTATACCAACGATGGAATCAGTCAGCGACCTGGAAAAGAGCAGTATAAAGTGACTACTGACTACGAGGCCAAAAAACTGTCATACACCGCCTCCCCCGGTCCACACGTGAATTACTCTGATGTGAAGAAGAGAACTTACCGATGCGGACACGAAGGGATTGCACGGTCTGCGAGTTAGGCACAAATGCAGCGGCTTCCCAATCACGGCAAAGACGTGTCAGAAAATCGTAGTCCTGGTAAGAGCTATCTTCAGTGTACGTTATTGACAGGTCCGGCTTGTAGAAGCCTAAAACCAGAGAAAACAGTCTTCGTGCAATAGGAGGAACCGTAGAGAGAGACCATGGGGTCAAGTGTGACCCCAACTCAGGTGTCAAATGACAATCCTTTTGCTTTCTAAAAAGGGGAAGAACGCTTACTGAAAAGAAATAGACGGGAGAGCTTGTTTGCGATTGAGACAGACTTGGTGGGCGCTACCACAGCCACTAGCAGAAGAACCTTCGTATTTTATCGATGAGACAGGCATGAGAACGTTCCTATCACCGTCAATGTGAGTATCCTCGTCGAGGAGGATTACTAATGCTGTAATTAATTCAGAAGTGTGCTTAGGTACTACAGCCTCGTCCTAATCGGTATAACGACGGGGCATTATTTCCTTAGGAGAATTCGACTTTTTGTCTGACCATCGCGGTTCCTCTTTCCACCGATTCAGAATCGGATCAGTATGGGTGAGCCTGGGAGCAGTGAATAAGCATGAACTGAAAATGGCCGAATAAAGGGTATCGTGACGGCTATATAATCGTCTAATGAAACGAATACCCATACTACTGATATCACTCTGGTTAGGCAAATGTAACCGACCCGTATAACAGTACTGACCGAACGCATGCGTTGTGTGATCTTCAAACCGTCGCTGACGGAAGCTTCACATAGCCGTCGTTTTTTCTTTAACTTGGTAAGACTGTGAGCAGACTTGATCTAGGCGGTCTCAGTGATGTCGCAGACGGTACTTTTCCGCACGCAACGATCAGCGGCTGTGGAGATGAGGAGCTCGATCCACTTCCTCATCTACTGAAAGAGACCGATAGCCTGAAGGTAAGGTGTGTGGCTTTAGGTTTTGAGTCGACCATCTCTTCGTCACATTCACTTAGACAGCATCGAGGTGTCAATGGATGGACTCAAATATTCTCGTGCTGTCCCAGCATGTGCAGACGGTTTCACTTTACGCAAAATAAATGTACTTCACTCACAAAATAGCTTCCGAGACAGGGTAGTCGAAGAGTGTTTCGTTTTTTTTTCTTGATTTCTTCACACATAACCCAGTACTCACAACCGCAGAAGAGGACTGACCGGAGGGATGTCAGGTGCACGTCACTCCGGAGATTTTTAATGACTTCCGGAAATCCTATCAAAGGGCTGATTGGGGCGAAGGTATCACCCATAGGCTGTCCTTCTAACAACGACTAGGATATGTTCACATACCAGAAACTTCATAGAGAACGCTGGGGGACCCACTGAGGAGCTGAACCCCTCACAGCTGTGTCATACAGCAGTAGAAACATCGGCGAAACACGTGTCTGGGCTTTTAGCTGATACCTATGTCGGGAGTACGGTAGAACACCCTTGCCATACAAAATTCATATTTTTAGTAGTGCTACCTGTTTGTAGAATGGACATTACGTGGTTATTTCATAGTAGTTGATTGTCTTCGACAAAAATGCTCATTGAAATTTCGAGTCCGACTCTAAACCGTCGTGCTCTGAGCACTTAACTCCATGCCCTACACTTAATAATCCCTTCTGCAAACTGACACCCACTGGTCGCCGGTGGTCAGGCAGGGAGCTCGAGAGTACTTCGATGCTCGCGGCTTCTACGGATAAACTGACCGAGCTAGCGGCATCGCTCGCCCGATACTATATTCGGCGAATCATAAAAATTTGGCTCCTAGAAGACAGACATCATGCAGCAGAATCCGATAACTCGGTAAATGAAGGTAAACAAACTTCAGCAGTCGCAAGGAGAAGAATTATTACCAGAATTACATCCCTAACTAACCAATGGCGGAAGCGTTGATAAACTTGCGTGTCGCCTTCGGTAGGTTGTTGGCGAGCAATTTCGTCGTCTTTATGCGACTTGACCTCACCTCATCCAAATAGTCCTGATAAACGCTAAGAGAGTAAAAATAAAAGGAGCGCTAGAAGTACAAACCTCGGTATCAGGAACGTGGGATTTATCTCAGCAATTGAACGTCCACTGAGGTTGACAACCACTTGAGTGTCCTCCGGAAGGCCACAAGCTGTCACAGTTTTCTACATTTTTCAGATTTGTCAGGTAAGACACTCAAAAACCCATGACAAGTCCTTTTTTTCCGTCGGCGTTCGAGAAACAATCCGAACATTAAAGTTATGTGCTCGTAACTTCGAAATCAGAGCTCTACCGACAAAGCCGCTCCCACCACCTGAAAAATCAAGTTAGAATTGGAAGATTGGTGGCCTACCAATCACGATATTAGTCATTTAATCCTAACAAGCCGAAGGGACCTACCGAAAATGAGACGGAAAAGTGCATAAGAAAATTGGATGAAAAGTTGCTGTGGTGGAAACGCAGGGAGTCTGTGACTTATTTTCTGGACAGTTCGCAGGCGAAGATGCTTTAGAATCAAATCCTAAAATAAGTGTATTTTCGGAATTCTCAGTGATGCTAAGAACCATACTCGTGTAGCCGGTGCAGTGCGCCCGGAACGTCAATAATGATAATGATGATGTTAACAATAATAATAATAGTTTCATATCCTGAAATAAGGGTGCTGATTCGGCAGGCATTGGATTGCACTGCAGACGTGCTAACTCATGAAACGCTAACCAAAATTCTGCAATGCGTTTTTTAAGCGAAAACGCGGGTTGTAATATTAATCACCGCGCCGCAGAATTTCGCGATATTTCGGTTACTTCAGAATGCCGACTTTTGAAAAAACTTCTCCCCGGACGTATGCAAAAATAACACCCCGTTAAACGGACTACTTATGTAGCGTGAAGTTTTCTCAGTGATTTTCGGTGCACTTGTAAATTCAAATATATTTCATGGAAAGCGGGCATAAAAATATTTACTCCTTTACTCATTTAGTAGAAAATCACGTCTTCATCAAATTTTAAACTTGAAGGAAGGGTTTAACTCGGCTTTGAATACTTGCCAAATTCCCGAAAAATCTTGGACCCTACATGGCGTTGCACCTGCACTCGGGGTTTCATAAATACGAGCTGTATATTTTCCATGTATAGAAAATCATACGTTCTCATGCGCTATTAAGAGGAAACCGTACAGGGGTAATAAGTTCTGGCAGTGGATTTGAGCCACTATGTAAACTTCACAAGCAGCACTAGTAAACGCAGAGACACGACGTTTTATGGAAGGGCATTTCATGATCTTAAAGAATCTCATAATTAGAAACTTTTTAAAGCCGAATTACGCCCGTCGTTCAAGCGTACAACTTGAGGACGTAAGTTTTTTACCAAGTGAATAATGAGGTGGATATTTTTGTGTGCGTTTTCTGTGAGATATATTTGAATTTATAAGGGCATCGGAAATCAATGAGAAAAAATTGTTAATGAGTCTATTTCTACCGAGTGCAATTTTTGCAGGCGGCCGAAAGGAGTTCGCTCGAAAGCCCGCACTTCGAAGCAGCTGAATTAACATGAGATTATGCTGCATAATGACTAATATTACAATCCTACTTAAGTAATCTTTTCGAGTCGAAGACGCGCTTCAGGATTTCCGTTAACATTTCATGAGTTAACATATCAGTTGTACGTGATGTAGAATTATTTTTCCTCGCACTTGATGCTCCGAAACTGCTGTCGGTCAACTGCAATGACAGACATATTCAAACGTCGTAAACCTGAGGCGTGGAGCCCCTGCCCGTGTTCACAGTGAAAAACAGTAGAACGTGCATGGCACGGCGTCCTCGGGGACTGATGGGCTCTAAAATCTTGGTCTAGTGACGAGGTGGCGGGATTCAGTTGAGAGACTTATTCGTCATGGTCAGCTGATTGTTACCGAGAGTTAGAATGGCCCCACGGGTGCCGCAAACTCCTCAAACAGTCCTCCCTACTGGACGTTTTGGGCGTGGTTCTCGATGCGACAATGGCGACAAAATGCTGGAATCGGTTATTTCGAACCAACGTTCATCGACATATATTTCCAGCACCACCACAGACATCTGCTTATCTGGTATACAAACGGCGGCCCAGGGTCAGTACAATTTGACAAAATTCTAGACGGTTCTGGGTCCTGCAGTTGAGACCACGATAGTAGATCGATCCGTGGTATCAAAGCTGGTGACGTCCGTGTGTCACAGCATGTGTTCATCCATACAAACCTGAAAGTTCACCCTGATTTCGAAAATGTACAACTAATTAATACAGCCAAGGCTCTGAGCAAAGAAAACGTGTTTCGTTTTACGACCGAAGTCGAAAGATACGGTAGCAACAAATGATCATCAGTAAAGCCATCAGTCTATAACACGACTAAGAAACTTATTAGATTCACCCAACGGCTCCACAATAAATGCAGCAGCGAAAGAATTTTGCCAGCCGGCAATTGCCCCACAGCGGCGCCATGATAACTGCAGCAACAGAAGAATTTTGGCAGCCGGCAAATGTCCCACAATGTTCTGAGGCACATTCAGCCCTACCATGGTTGTTGTTCGTCAATGTTAACCATGCACTCATATATTAATATATGAGGGCTAAATGTATCTCAGAACAGTGTGGGGTAGTGTGTTTAATGGAAATTAGTGGTGAGTTCGTTAAACACACAGGAAGAACGCCTCTTGCATAAACAAAAAAACCGACGCGGTCAGCACCCTGCACCAAACGTTTACAATCACAACCTGAAGAACCATGAAACGAGGCGCGAAAGTAGAGTAAAACAGCCATAAGAATTTAAGCACTTTCATCATTTTGAAAAGCGATCAAGCCCAACGGTAATTTGTCAGTTTCGGATAAAAAAGACCACCCGGTAGCAGAAGATGTCTACCAAACATAGCATACAGTTACACGTGTACATTTAATTAATTCTCATCAAACGAATATACGGTGATCATATAAAATGTTATCAAGTCTCTGTCTAAATATCTGAACCCGTTTCAACTCCTCAAACTTCGCGTGCGTGGCACAGGAATGACACAATGCACTCTAACCTCATGGTCCTCTTAACGCCTTAATTCAACCGTCTCTGATTACAGGTCCGAGTGAAATGCTAAAAGATCAGGCCAATAAGAATTATCGTTCCATTGATCAATTTTCGTTCCAGTGATCGTTACACTGATTAATGTAGATCCGATTCAATGACAATAATAATAATTGTACTTAATGTCAGTTTTTAGTCATTGTCAGAGGAAGACCAAGCACAAGTCCGGCTAGCAGTGAAAAACTCCTAACAATTAAATAATCAATACGGCGGTTTTGTATAGTCTAGAAAGTTCAGGAAAAAATAACCGTACATGAAATGGCGACAGTCAAGAAACAGAGGTGTAACACTGCATAGGATATTATCAGGCGACATTTCTCTTCATGAAATTGGGACTGGATCAAACAGACGTACTGAAGAACAGTTCTCGCTGTTGGCTGAGCAAATTGTCCATGAGGATCAGAGACCACGAACGCGATTACTACAGTATAGTTAATCGATAGATTCGGCATCCAAAATTTTTGGTACCACTTCTGAATTCATTAAACGAGTAATATTTCTCTTAAACAAGGGATAATCATGCCGAATTGTTTCATTTCTGGGTAATTTATTCCAAACAGCAATTGTTTTCAGAGAAATGATCCTACGATAGTTAACGGCGCAAGACAGAGGAAGAAATAAAAAGACCTCACGACGACTGTTATATGTTTTAAAGTAGTGAGCCGGTTAAATGTATGATTATGTAAAAGGTTAAATAGTCAGAATAGTCCCTTTTTAATCTGCAAAGTTAAGAATGATCAAGGCGTGTAAACCGGCAACGTTCTTGGTACGACAGATTCCGGCGTTCTGAGGTTAAAAGTCTCTTGGTAAAAAATGTTGAGCGGGCTGTCTTTTCTACCGCTCGGCAGCACGCGTGAAGCTAAATAAAAACGAACAGTATTCCAGGCCAGGTCTAACGTACATCTTACAGAGGCGCATTCTAATGTCGTTAGTTTTAAAGTTTCAAAAGATGAATCCGGTCGTTCTACGTGCTTTATGTATATGTATATGTATCAGAAGAAAAGGCGTTCTCGGGAACCATAGTTTTACTGCCCTGACGTTTCAAAAGCATACAAGCTTTCATCGTCGGAGGTGAGTGTGGTATCGCGCCTCACAGTATTTATAGGTGGGTGACAGTCATGTCGAGACGGGTTTAGTTCATACATACGAAGTCAGGGCGGATGAAGGGGGGCGGTGGATCAGCTTTAGTGGTCACCAGCGCATGCACACAGGGACTGTGGCGGACGAGGGGGAGTGAGCGTGACGGGAAGTACTCAATCTACATCGGGGGGCGGCGTTGAGACGTTGGTGGTCGTCGCCCGTACCTTCATTGGCCTTAACTGTCGTCCAAGGCTGGCAATCTTGTTTACGCCGCAACGACTGTCCGTTTTCTCGTCCGCCGGACTAGTAGATTGAACGGCTGTGGTGACGACTGCGTCTTCGTCGGAACCAGGTTGAGGGGTGGCTGAGTGTGCATCCACCATGGACTCACTCATGTCTGGGTTCGTGTTTAGCCTGGGTTCACGTCTGCTCATTTGTTAACTGAGCTGTGCTCGAAGGGCTTGATAGGCAGCGGGAAGAGCCACACAAAGGTTGATGGAGGTTGTCCCTGTGTGCCAAGCCTCGATTGTTTCCCTGTCTATGCGGTCGCTTCCTCGGCCCAGAATTTTGACGTGCTGAAAGGCGAACGTGTGTCCGGAATCGGCGCAGTGTTCGGCCACCAGAGACAAAGGGTCCATTCGCCTTACTGCCCTCATGTGCTCTCCAACACGGGTCTGTAGTCGTTTGCCCGTCTCCCCAATGTAGTTGGCTTCACAGGAGTTACACTGGATCCGGTAGATGACGTTCGTGGTTTCACCTGGTGGCAGAGGGGCCTAAGGTCTCATGACCAGATGTCGAATTGTTGACTCCGGTCGGTGGGCGATGCCGATCCCCAGCGGTCTTAAGAGACGCGAGACGACCTCAGAAACGCCGTCGATGTATGGAAGCGCCCGCCATATTTTTGGCCGTTCTGTTTCCAAACGTCGACTCAGTCCGGCCTGTCTGCTGCGTTCGATGAAGTTGCGCGGATACCCGTTGGACATGAAGGGGCGCTGGAGGTAGCGTTGTTCTGACTTTCTGTCGTCCGGCTCGCTGCAGTGTGTTTCTGCCCTTCTGTAGAGTGTTCGCACACAACTGCGTTTGTAGCACAACGGGTGCTTACTGTGGAAGCTCAGGATTTGGCGCGTATTAGTGGCTTTCCTATATACCGTCGTTTTTAAGTGCCCATTTGGTTTTCGATGGACGAGAA